AACCGCCAGCGCGTTGTGGAACGTATCGTTACGTGTTAGATACCGGGCATAAAGTTATGGGAAACATAAATTCACGGTTTACAGAACGTTTCAAACACGATCGAGCACGTGAGAACGGTATCCAGTTGTAACGGCGTGTTCGTCGCGGATATGCAGTAAATCATCGATGAATGTTCCAAGGTACTTCTCGGCACTGAATATTAAATATTTCATATACCAATGGCCGTATACAGCTGAAAGAAATATCATTGGCTTCAGAATTCCAAGTTAAACCTCATTAAAAAGTCAGCATTACATCTGGGAACACCTCTCCTTGTCAGTGCCAAGGAGAGCCTTCGGACACTCATCGTTCGGGACTCAAGATATCTGCTTTATCGCCGATTCAATTTCTTTTCCTTGTATCGCGGACACGGAACTGCGTGAAAACTCCGTCGACGAGAGGTGAACGGAAACTCGCTCGGAAAGAAATAACCGCGGATCTTCCTGATGCGTGGCGGGGCGTTTAGTTGCGTGCGCTCGCGATTCGGCACGTGCTTTCCTAAAACGAAACTCTCTGCTCGTTAGCGGCGATTAGTCTTGGCGAACCGAATAGAAATTCATGATTCCGGACGCGCGCGACTTCTCGCTGGAAACGCACGAAAATATCTATGAACGGGCTGGTACCGCATCGAGGTAACACCGATCCACCGATATATTTTTCCTTTCACCTTATTAAATATCGCCGGGCACATGTCGGGTGTAGGAGTCGCGGATCGCCTTTGTTTTGTTCGCCTCGAGATGGAGAGAAAAAAAAATTGGGTGGAAAGTTGGACGGTCCGGAGAATTCGAAGATAGAACCAGTTCGCTTTCGTTGTTGATCCAGAGGTGTACAAACGTCCCGTCGAAATCGAGCAGAGGATGCGACGCGGACACGGCCGGCGAAAGTCCTGGCGCTTTTATTTCTCTTGCTGAAACTGGCCAGCGCTGCTCGGTCGTCCTTTCACGATTTCATGCGTGTGATTTGTTCCCCGCGATCCTTTTATTCATTTTTCATCGGTGCCTCCGGCTTCTCGAGTTTCAGTCTAGATTACGAGATGTCGCGAACGCCGAGAGGAAAGCGTGTTTCGGCGTCTGGCAGCAGTAACAGCAGCACGGCCGTCGTCGCGGTCTCGGTGTTTTCTCTTCTTACGAAAATTTCGCGCGTCTAAATACCAGAGCGTTGCGTTACGCTTCCAATCTGTTCTTTTTTCGACTATATCGGGCGGAGTTGAGCCGTTTCGAGCGGTTTCACTAGCCGCGAGGTATACGGCTCGACTCGAGAACTCGAACGCTCACGTGGTGGAGGGATTGTCGCAAGAAAACGGTGACATTCTGGCCACGGGTAAAACCCCACGGGGCCGGCGATGAGCGCGCCGCTTCTGCTCTCTGAACAAAACACTGTGATTACCGCAGTTTAGGTAATCCGAATTTCGTGCGGACTCGGTGCCGCTGTAAGGCAACGTTCCCCGAGTGTAAATAGCAAACGAATTGCCGCTACTTTCGCCACGTTAATTCTCGTGGATCCTCGTATACCGAGACCGAGGATAATCTACGGCGGCGGATCTCGTTCGAGAATCGCAAAACCCGGCGTGTGCCCCCCGCGTTGCTCCCGTTTCGGTCAGAGTCGGATAATTCCGTTGTCCCGGAGTAATTCTGTTCACCTGAACTATCGCGCGTTCTCGATCTGCTTCCCGAATAATTCCCCTGGCAGGAGTGGAGAAAAGTTAACATCGCGATTCGACATTACGGGAGAAGAAAAGCACAGACCTGTCTCTCGGCTCCGCTGAATCTCTTTCTTCGTTAATCCCTCATGAAAGCACCGTCCTCACATCGAGGCGCACTCGAATGACAAATTTCCTCACAAACCCCGTACACCGCGACTAGTTCTCTCTGCCAATTATACAGTTCCTGCGAAAAGCACTTTCGAGCTGGCTCGAACTGCGTGTCCGGTTGGATGATCGGGCAGGGGGGTGGTTACTTGTATCGTCGCTTGAAAATACACTCGTCGGACAGATCCTACCGCGAGGATTCACCGCGTTTGGAAGGTACAGGACAAGTAAAGACCGCGTCCGGTCCGGCCAGAAGACTGCGCGATGGAAGTGGAAAAGCCAGCAGCAGGAGCGTTGTGCTCCGGCCAGCGTCGTCTGGTCGAGCTTTCTACGACCGAGGATAAGGTCGAGGAGGGGGTTTCGACGTGCATAGGCGTCGTCGTCGCTCAACTTGCCCCCCTTCCTCTCCACCCCCACATTGGCGTATCCCCACCGTCGCAAAATCGATTCCCGTCAGAGGGAAAGGCACCGCGCGCGAGTGTGGCACCTGCGTTGCCACCTGATAGTCGACGTGAATTCCGCTCGAATCGGACCCACTATTGTACACATGCTGGTGAAACCTTTCAAACATGATTAGAAGGCCGTCACATTTCTATCGGCGATACTACCGTGTCCTTACTTTTACCAGGACTTTTTACCGTTTCACCCCCCGCGCAGGACACCGAGAGGGAGAGCTGGAGGAGACAAAGGGTGGACGGATCCGGAGCGACCGCGAAAGGTCTCGCGACGCCTTCAGGGGATTCCGAGTCGCTCGCGCCCTCGTCTTCGCGGTCCTTTCGACCGGACCGAACCCATATCGACGAATTCTCTCGGATCGTAGCGTGGGTTTTCGAAAGATCGATCGAAGAAACGAAGTGAAAGTGGAACGCGCCGACTACTCCACCGACAAATGACGGATCGACGAGGACAAAAGTGACGACGAGACCCGCGTGAGCATGGCATCGCGCGCGTCTCGAGGATCCCATTAATCGATAAGAATCGCGAGCTTTTGTGTCCATCTCTATTTCTCTCCGTCTGGGACGACGCTCACCGAGCACACAGTTGTTTAGCAATAGGAAGTTTGGCTTCCCGTGATGCTCGCTAGTTGATCCTTTCGTAATCGACCGGCATCGTGCTTGAAAAACTGATCGACTCTCGCCCGCGAGCCGATTGGCTTTCCAATAAATTACCTTCAGGGTCGCACAATCCACGGGGCAATAGAATCGTTGTTGCCCCGAAGAAAGCTGTGTTAAAATTTAATTTTCCGATTTCAACGCGTTCGATTTTAAGGGAATAGGGGGTTGACTAGGTAATCTGAAGTTTATATCGTCGAATTCCCTTAACTCTCTGGACCAAAAGATCCAGAGCACCTGTGTCCATGAGATGGACCGGTTCGTCAAAGTTCACTGCTTTCTCTAAGGACGGCGGGGTCCTTTCTTCCTCAAGGCCCCAAGGACGATGCATCCAGTCCCCTCCCCCTTTCCAATACTTCTTCCCGGCAGGGATAGGGTCGTGTCCGTGTGTAGGGTCTTTTAATGTGCTACGAACGCGAAGGACACCCTCCGTTCCTTCTCCTACATCATCGATGCGAGAATAAGAATACGTACAATCTTGCAACCCTTTGTTCTCTCCTAGAGAGGACTCGGTTTTGCAAGCGATCAAGCGACCAGCCTACTGATCTTTGAAAAGAGATCGCGAAGAATTTGAGGATGGGGCGTAGGATACGCCCGTGGTATTTACGCTCGTCGTGATTCGTCCGAGGACATCACATCCTATCCCTGTGGTTTTCACACCCACGGAATATTTACGCGTCATATGTTTGCCGAGGTGTTTCATGCAAATTTTTAATATTACCCCTCACGCCGCAATAATAGACGGTGATTGTCGAAGGAGACGTCGCGGGTGCGTCCCGACGTTGGATAATCGTCTTCGATCCCCTCCCCAGACAGCAACGGACGGAGCGATGCAATCGGTCGTTTTTCTTTTTTTATTTCGATCGCGTCGTCGCCTCAGCGGGACGTCATCGGAATAACGGAGCCTCTCCCGGTGACTTTGGCCTTGCCGTTCGAAAAATGCGTTTCACAAAGCGGAATTTACACGGGGGGATTTCGTAAGTGGTCGCGCCAAAATTTCTATTCGGTTTACGTAACCGCGCGTCGAACAACGATCGAAATTCTTCGCCACGGATGGTAATTACAGATGCCGGTGAATATCGTGAGGAACGCGGCGGCGTTCGATGAATTCTTTCCTAGGTAAAAATTCGTGGCCGATAAATGAATAATAGAGCATCGGCGCGCGAGACGCGAATGCAAACGACGACGCATAGACGGAAAAGCGTAGCATCGAGACCGACGTTTGACGGGGAAAAGGCTGGGAATAAACTTACCGTTAGCGACAACCATTCACTTTCTATTGTCCAATCATGCCAAGAAATCGTCCATCGCGATTTCGACTTTTTGCGCGCGATCGTCGGTCGATCGAGAGCCATTGTTCTTTTCTTCGTCGTGGCGATCTATTTTTTATCCACCGAATCGAGTCGGTAATTGTACACAGAAGGAAGTGATGATCGTTTCGGTGGGACATGGATAGAGACAGTTGCCAACCAATAGTTGGGCTTCGAACACGAATGTTTGTATTCTTGGTTTTTTACGAGCAAGGAAAAAATTATGTTAGCCGATCAGATGAAAGCACACACACACCTGGTCACAGTGTACTTCCACTGTGTTCGTTCGATTCACAGGAGATAATTAATGCATTAGTTGTTTGTTTTATTGAAGAGTCAAGTTTCTTATAAAACAATTAAAGAGCTAGTCTGATCGGTCTGTCGGAGCAAACTGTGCGATAGAAATTTGAACGGTTCTATGGAGAAACGGACAGCAGTAGTTGTGTGTGTGTGTGTGTGTGATTGTGTGGTTGGTTGAAAGTGTATCTACATCTTTTTCGGACAGCATCGGGAAACAGTCGGTTGCCATCGCGTGGAATTTAACGTCTGAGAATATTGCAGCGCCCTGTTCGCGCGCGCATCCTCCGCCGGCAAGCTAGGAACTCACAACTCGGTTCTCGACGAAACCTCGCTTCTCCGTTAAAGTTGTTCTCTTGCCTGACCAGTAGAAAGACTGTACAGAATTGTTACACCGCGCTTAAAATGTTTCACAGGAATATAAAGTGTTGTCGTTAGATCTTGTTCCCGTTTACATCCCTGTACAGGTCGTCGTTGATCCCGTACAGTCTCGGCGAGTCGTTGCAATCGACCTACGATAAACATCGATAAAGTATTTATTAAACGCTGAAAAATCAGAGGAACAAAATTAAGGAGAGATGGAATGGTTCTTTACCTTGAACCACCAATCACAGACGCGAGCAGACTGGCTGAAAACGGTGCCATTTGGACAGAGGAAACTGAACTGACGTCCATTCGGTAAGCACCAGTGCCAAACCTGCCAAAGAAATGTTGAATATTATCATCGTATCGATGATTCGTTAATTTCACGTGAAAGAGTGTAACACACGATCACACACGATGTGGATTTACCTGACATCTGGCTTCAGGATCGGCATAGTAACCGGGTAACTTGCCACCGCAGGTAAACGTAAGACCGAAAGGAACGGAATCGTAGATCGGGTAGTCCACGCCAGGTGTGTAACCGTCTACTTGCTGGAATGGTCCGTTAACATCGACTCCGTAAGATTAATCCGAAACGATAGCATCTTAATTAACATTAATTAGTATTTGGCCGAGAGCGTTCCAATTAACCCGGTGTGATTTAAATTCCAAACGAACGGGATGTTGCGCGAGTTACATTTCGGTTTCCTTTCGGAACACAAAAGCGATTGGCTCGCGGGATGCAATTAACAAGAGCATTATATTTACATCGCGAGGATGCTTCCTCCGGCGGGGCTCTGTCGAAACGACTTTCGTCACGTATCTCGTGTCGTTCACAATGGAACGTGGACCGAGCCGAGGATGCACGGCATGAGTCGCACTTCCTCTCTGCGGTATGTTGGCACGACATACGACGCATACACGGTGGTCGTTAAATTTCATTCGGTCGACTCGTTTACCATAGGTTGCCCCTGTTTCACGGTTAAAGGGCAAGTATTTCTATAGAAGTTCGCGCGAAGGTTTTGCGTCAGCGATGGTGCGATAAACACGCGCGTTTCCGGTGCGAGAAATAAAAGGGTATCCCGAGAGTCGACGAGAAGGAAGGCCCTTCCCCTAGGGCAACGCGGTTAATGATCCAAGCAACGCTTCGCGGAACGTTTTAAAGGATCTCGCCGCGAGATCTTTTTTCGCAATTGGCTATCGACCGAGATGAGAAGAAGAATAAAAAAAAAAAGGAGGCCGTTGCGACACACGAAACGCTGGATCGAGCCAGTCCAGTGCGTGCACGTGCCCCTGGTGTGTTTGACCGGAAGTCGGGTTACATTGTTCCACGGCAAGCGGATGCGCATCTCCGCGCCTTTGTATTCGATCTCTCGTCCAGCGGTACGCGCGCAACCGCAAAACACCGGCCTCCGCCCTCTCGACGCGAACGGTAATTTCGATGCTTGGTTAAGAAGGTATACGTATACAGCTGCAATCGGCCAGCTCATCGCGCGCGCAAAATTCGGTTAGGTCAGGGTTTCGTGGGAGGTGTGGTCGTGTATTCTTCGACGTGAAACAAGAGGTCTTCGAATTTTATAATGGATTCGATTACGAACAAAAAAAGGATCAGAAACGATTGGACGTCGAAGAGGAATCCTCGGTGTTACGATACCGACGCGTTGATTTTACCAAAGGATTAGAGGAGCATTTCTAGACGCACGGACCGTGAATGCTCGAACCGCGATAACGATCGTCGGATCAATTAATCATTTTCATTCCGTTTTTTTTTTCTTTCTGACCGTTGCTGGCTGCGCGCCGGCATTGAAAATTCGGTTCCCGTTCGTACGCGACCCGCGTTCATGGTCATCGTTTCCGGTGAAAATGAATACGCCCGCGGCGATTGCCTGGCGGATAGAATCGCGCGGATATCAACGTTGTATCGGGAACAGACGAAAAGAGGTCAACCACGAATCGTTCGTGTTTCGTAATTCTGGGATCAAGTGTAATTTCCACGGATTCTCCCGTTCGTCCAGCAGCGCAAGAATCGCGCACCGGAACATCCGAAGGAAACGTCGAGACGACGCTGAACGAGTTTGTCTAACGAATAGTCGCTCGCGAGAAAGGCACGTTCACGCAACAGGGGTTAATTAATGAATTACTTCATGCCGCCACCTGGAGGAAGATGACGCGAGAAGATACCGCCCGCCCTCTTGTCATTGTTGTACGTGAGAAACACGCGATGCGAATATAATAATTTCGCGCTTTAATTCTGCCGGAGGTTTCGTAAACGCATTGTGACCCACCAAGGAATTATATCCCGCCGGGTGTCGCGGATTGCGCAACCGATCAAACGTATCGATCTCTTTTTTGTACGTTTTTCTTCTTTTCAACGTATACGCGAGTCGATATCTCTACTTACCGCCATCGCTTGATACAACGAAATCGCGCCATATACCAGGATCGCGCACAGAATTTGGTACCGCGAGATCATCTAAAAAAAAAGAAAAGATAATGGAGAAGAATGATATTCAATGAACTGGAAAATGTGTTAAATAGCGATCGAACGAGTCTGTTGGATCAAATATGAAATGCGCAGACGGAAATGCTAACTTCTCGAGAAGCTCGAGGGGCTTCTTTTGAAAATTTCTGCCAGCTCTCTATCCTGCGAAGATTGGACTCACCTTTTTTCGTGAAATATCCAATCACCTTAATCCGCAGTATCCTTCCGCGTGGTGTTCATTTATCTCAGGCTGATTCCGTTGTTCTCGTATCGCGGGGGGCCACGGTGCACTGAGATCGGTCCTGACACGCTGGACCTCCGTCTTGCACAAAGTTCGGTCTCCACGGTGTTACCGGTAATGTTTCTTTCTCGAAGGATGCTACCACGAAGTGGTGGTATATATATGGCTTTAGAGATCGGGCAAGACCTAGGGGGGGTTCTTGAGAGCCCCTCTTTCACGGGGCTCCCACACCGGACGAACGGAGAAAGAGAAGATCCCAGGGAGGTAGGGGAGGGATCCACTTCTGCGATGCCGCAGATTCTTCTCTTACGCAATCCCTTCGTGTTCTTACACCCGTGAAAACAGTCGTAACGATCGTACTTGAACCAGGGTTGCGACGTTTTCCATCTGCATCCGATGTTTACGTCATTGCCCGCGGGAAGGGATGATACGGGACGAAGACACGAAACATTTATCGATGATCTTCGAGACACGATGAACATTTCGAGGTCTTGGATCGCTTAAATTTGTTTCTTCGAGGGGTCAACAGATTGCTGGAAGCATCACGGTGCTACTTCACAGCAATCTCGTATGCCTTCGAAGTTACTGAGACGCGTTGATAACAGGAAACCGAGTGGACAGTTTCGACCTACTAATCTTGTTATTTTCTTTCACTGACCAGCACTAAGTGGACGTTACCGAACGTTTACGCAACGTCTGGTGCTTCTGCAACCGTGAAAACGATAGCGTTGCAAGGACCAAAGGGAGAATATCCTCTCAAGGTACCCTCGCCCGTTTCGAAACTGTTTCCTGCATCGTCGATCTCTCGTCGACGCTGTTTGCTCGCCGGGCTCGGACATCTTTCGCAAAGATTCGTTGCGATCCTATCGATTAATTACACTTTTGTGTGTTTTTCTCGAGGAGGACGCTCGAGATTATTCCACCGATCGCATCGATCTGATACCGCGCCTTTTATTTTTTCGTGCGATTCTCCCGACCAGAAAACGCTCGTCACGAACTTCGAAATCATTCGGTGTTATCCCGTGACGACGAACATTCAAGGTTTCGACGAAAATTAACGTTTCCAGTGGTTCATTATGGCTTATCCGAATGTGTCGAGATTCGTGAGATTCGTTCACCTTTAGCATACTTATTCGTCGAACGACTGCAGACATTCGGCTGATTTGTGTTACATATTTATCGAAAGGTGAAACTAAACGTGTTCTATTGTCCGTATTACGTGTACTTAATTACGATTAAACAACCGGAAATACGGGAGTTTCGTGTGATCGAATCGTTCATTTGCATGTAGGTTGTCAAGTTCCATCTTCCTCGCGGCAAACCCTCAATTTTCGAAGCACGTTCAGTACCAATTAGCAGACGATAATTGTTGGCCGCGATCTTTTCCGGATCGACGTGCAAATTCTACAGAATTAGGCCGCCGATTCCACCTTCAGTGGCGGCGGCGGTTCTCTCAGTCCTATCTCGAGTTAGATAACAAGTTCTGCGCCGTTCTTGAACATTTTTTCCGCCGCGCTTTGTTTGCCATTACATCGCACTTCAAAATGTTCTCGCGCGTTGTCGACTCGTGAATAATAATAATAATAACAACAATACGATTCTTTTACTGTTTCGGCGGCGTGAGATGGACGGGTAAGAGAAGGAGGACGAGAGAGCGGAGATACGGTAGGTAGATGTCGTTCTGAATTAAATTATCGTTAATTATATATCGGGGCGGTTTCAAAATCCGTGTAACACTCGTGGGAAGGTCTGTTTGTTTCCTTTACGATTTGAGAATAGCGCGGAATATAATCATGTTGATGCCGCCCGCGGAGTGGACGGGGTAACGTTGACGGAGAGGAAAATCCGTGTCTTATTCTTGTTAAGAAACCCGTTATTAGGATATTATGGTCGCATTAGAAAGTCTTCCCCTCTACCCCCATGCCCCCTCGTGACCACTTAATTCGAGGCGAGCCCCGATAGAAGTTTCGAATATCTTATCAAACGGTGTATCTTAAATGTCCCCGTTTCGAATGTTACGGTGTAAAAACGCGCGTCGTTGTTACGTGGTTTGTATCGCGGCCACGCGAACGGAGAACGGATAGGGCCCCGCGGAGACTCTTCTCCTCTCGTTCTTTTTTCCTTCGGGAAGGCAATCAGAAGGAGACCATTTGTTTTAATGGACACTTTCGTCACAATGACGACGGTTACCGTGTCTGTGCGCCCCGAATGTTTCGCACGCTCCGCGATGTTCAGTCGCTATAAACTTTCGTAATTTCATAACGAGTCGACTTCCGAGCATCTTTCCTGTCGCCGCGATACAAAAGCGATATCTATATGAAAGTCTTTCTCACGTTTCTACCACTGGTCGGGGGGAAGGAGGCCCCCGATTAAACATTTAATTACACGATATCGTCGGTTATCCGAACTGTATCGAGTTTGGCAATCTCCCGATCGTCCTCGTCGATTGCGTCGTCGCTCGGAGGAACGGCGATAAACAGGCTAATTACATCTCGGGGACGATCGATCGATCCACGACGGTCTCCCAGAACTTTTCTGCTGGAAGAGTCCTTATCGATTTTCCGGCGCTTCCGTCGATTCTCCAATTACTTTAATTCTCGATTGTTTCGTTGCGTAAGATACGCGCATCGCGCCGGAATCGCGTGGACTTTATATTCCGTCTACAGGTTACGTAAGCAAATACAACATCAATTAATAACAGAATCCTAGGAAGCTCGCGACTGGGTCTCGCCAGCCGCCTGTAACGAGACGAACGCATAAATATGGACGAACATATTCGGATTGCTTTTCTCACCCTCGGCTTGAATCTCATCTCGGACGTACGGGCGGTTTTATCGAAACCGTTTCTCGAGCACATCGAACCACGCCATCCAGCCGGTGTCGTCCTACATCTTTAGCGATGCGTGCCCGACACCTGTCTACGAGCAAATTGGTAATTGCCCCGTCTTCTGTTGCGCAACCGCGAGAAATGCGAAAGCTCGTCGTCGTCGCGGGCAGATTTTTCGTTGCCGCGAATCAAGGTCGACACGCGTGCTTGTCCCCTCGTCATCGTTTCGTGCGGATAACACATTTTCGCAATCCTCTCGTGATTGCACAAATGTCCAATTAACCCTGGATCGCTAAACCATCCCGTCACTTACGTTACTACTAATCATTCATACAAAATTACAACTGTAAGAGAGAGCACGTAATATTTTCGCAAAATATTATTTTCATTGAGGTAGAAACCTACGTTATAAGTATTTGCGATAAGTTGGGCAATGAAAGATTGAAACAGCGATTATTTAAAAATAAATCGATACGGCTACCTTTTTTCGACAATCACGAATTCGATGTTGAAATTTTCACGACATTTTAAATAATTACAAGATCTGCAATTAAAACGACCAAATCACCGCAGCGTAAGTTTCTCGCGTATTCAATTGAACCTACGATTTAATCGGTATACTCGATATTCTTACGCTCGCTTTCACCAGGTGCGGTCTCGTTACCTCTCACCCACTGTTTTCGATTTATCACCGGCGATAATAGCACCGGCTCGAATATTACTCACGCCTACCACTTGCGTGAGAGTGGCTTTCGATGCATCCCGATACGATTACCCCTAGATACGAACGTTCGATTATCGAATATGATAGGCGTGCGTTGAATCAGATCCCATCAGTACGCACGCGTGCGCTCGTGGCAGCGTAAGCTTACGGTGGCAGTTTGTTCCGTGGCCGCGTATTATCAGTCGCCGCGGGTCGAACCGAGTACGAGAAGCGAGTCGAGGCCGCGCGTGGCCTGTCCCAGATATTTTCAGTCGCGCGTACTCGCGACAGTGCATAGCATACACCGGTTCACCACTGTCGATCGCGTTCCCCCTGATCCTAGAATCGGTCCATCCTCAGAACGGTTTCGCGGTTGAACGAGCGCGGTTGATCGATCCCCGCGACCGGTAGCGGCCTCGAGTCCACGAGGGACATGTTTCCGGATACCTGGAGCACGTAACCAGCCGCGTGTCCGCAGCAGCTGCACATTCGTATCGAGATCACTCCGAGATTGCACCTGTGTTCGTGGCGCCCCGGCTGTTTCTCGACGCGCGGTCTCGAGTGTTTTCCGTGTATGTACATGTGAACGTCAGTGATGTCAATTGTCGTCGTACGAACGAGCGCTGTCGAGGTAAACGATCGAAAGTAAATTGCTCGGATGATTTACGAGTCGATAGAAAAATTGATCTAGTTCACCGTTCTGCGAATAACGATCGATGCAAGATTAATTGTGGGTGGGACGTTATTTGCCGTGTTTTCGGAAGCTCGTCGTTTCTTCTCCGAATGCTACGTTTTCAAGGAAATCGAATATAGAGGACAATATAAAATATCGTTATCGTCGCGACGGTATTTAACGGAGATAAGAATGTGAAAGATAACTCGAAAGATTCGCGTGTCTAATCTCTTTCCGCCCGATAGAAAGAACTCTAATTATTCCGCATAGGTAATATACGTGTGGTCTGGTTTTCTTCGATTCACGGAAAGTTCCGTCTTCCGTGTTTGACGCCGGGAAAAGTATCGCTATATCGTGAGAACCAGTGGTAGGGAACCGGCGATGAAATTATGCCGCGTCGTCGTATTTTGTTCCGACGATATACATATGTACATTCAGTCACCGGGAGAGGTTCGTTCGTTGGTTTAAACGCTGGTTACTGGTTAATTAGAAGATTCGTCGTGTGGTGAGTTGTAATTAAAATAGAGGTGAATCGTGGTTGTCATTAATTCGGGCACTCACGGGATCGTGTACGCACGGTTTTAAACGTCCAACGCGACGCGACGGGCCGACGCGCGTCGTTGCCCGTTCGTGACACGAGTATAACAGTTTCCGGTCAGACACCCATCTACCGCCGCTTCCGGTATCGTTGTTACCCTCTCGTGAGCTCGAAACGAAAAGGGAGATCGCTCTCTGTTGTCTCGACTTCCCGTACGCGAACTGTCCAACCATGAGTTCCGATCGACGGGACAAACACGTCCGGAAACATTGTACGCGACGGTTACCGCATAAATAACGATCGCCGATCAGTTTTGTCGTCGAGACTCGATGAAGCCCGATATCTCGTTGGGTGTAACGGAAATCTCGGAAAACCGTAATAACGAGCACAGACCGACGACTGTGTCTATTGCTCCATTTCATCCTCGAACGATACCGTTACCACCGACGCTGCTCCATCTTTTTCTTCTCTTTGCGCAGATATCCCTGAAGAATCACGATCGGTCGTCCGAGATAAATTCTCTGCCGAACTTTGTCACGTATATACTTTTTTTTTTCTTCCTACAAATCGCTTTTTCATCGGATCACCCGGTACGTGGGGACACGGACGTTAACAGTGTGTGTCTAGTATTGTAGGCGGGTGTAATTGGCGCGACAGGTGTGTACAGACGTCGCAGCGAGTATATACATATACAAGGTGATTCATAAATACATGTCAGTATTTCAGGAGGTAAGTCTACAGACTGATATAAGGAAGAAATGTCGAACATTTTCTTTAATCATCCATAACTAAAAAACTAAGGTATATAGGACACATGTTGCTGTGACGTTTTTTGCTTATATTATTGTGTAGATTTACCCCCTGTAGTATTGTCATGCATTTATGAACCACCCTATACGTACATACAAGGTGCTTGTAAAACACACCACGAGCAGCAACGTATGCGTTGCTCTACCGCATCAGGAGATTTCAATCGAGGGCTTCATCTTCCTTAATTCGTTGCTCTCTTTTTTCCTTAATTATCAGGTTTCGCGAGACCGGGAACGAACACAGAGGCAGGAGTAATATTTCACGAATACGTTCTCGTTCGTTCGGCGGCGCTGCTTCGTTTCGACCTTAGTTCTTGAATTTCTGCGTCGGCCGAAGCGATGCCGACGTTAGCTGAACGCGAGCAGAAAACCAGTGCGCATTTTCGAAACGGTAACTGCACACGAAGAATCACCGGGTGACGGGAGCTCGGGGGAACAACAGCGTGCCCACACACGCGCATACACGCATACACATGATCAACGGACGGAATACATTAACGAGTCCCTTTTCACCTGACTATCGGTCACCTGACTCATTTCCTGCGCCGTCGCGTCGTTCAGAGCGCCGAGACCCCCGTGTACATTTAGAATCCACCGATAGCATCGCGTTTTACGCCGTTCTTCGCATCCGTTTCGTTCGATTAAATCTGTGACCGCGAACAGAGAAACCGTCGCGTCCCTTCTTGCTGTCCACTCCTCCGTCTCTTCGCTCCGCACCGTTTCATCTGTTCCCTGCCGCGTGGTATTCGTTCGTCCGCGACGCAAAACCTCCAGGGAACTTTCGAGAATCGAACCCGATCGCCTGCCTTTATTATTATCGTAACGAAACGAAACGGTCGTCGAAGGCCAGACGGGAAAAAGGAGAGCGAAAGAAACGATCGAGCGAGCGGAGAGCGCGCAAGGTGCAACGCGTGCCCCGGCGCGCGACAGCTGTTTTCCGGTTCAAGTTAAGCCCCCGTTTTTAATTCCGCGGCTGAACGCGTTTCGGTGGATACAACCAACGACGACGATAATGACCGCCAAGAGGGGTTGGAATCCTCCTCCTCCCTCCGCCCCCTTCGCCGTAGTATAATTTCTTCGTTCGTTTCACTTGTGCTCGCCACTGGGAATTCCAACGAATAAATTTCACTCTTTAGCCGCCACGAATATTCAACGTGTTATTCTCGGGTAATGCAGGTGCGATCTCGACGGACGATAACCAAGGATTGATTCTATTTAACACAGGGGAAGAAGTTGTGAGTGGCTAAAACGACCCAGGGGGGTCGATATGGAGGACGAGGACTTTGGCTTCACCCGGAGGAACGATACTGTCCTAAAAAATGTTAAACATTTCGAGAGGAAAGAGGATAATGCTCCGGCTAGTAAGGTTCGTTCTACTCCGCTTTGAGTAGCTAACTGTTTAGAATACTTTGTGTGGTTTTGTCTATAATCGTACAAATGTCCAATGAAAAATAACCAAAAGTAGGAGAATCGTCGTAATAAAACAATGTCCGCAGTCATACGTCAACTTTTTTTTACCCCGATGACCCAATTAATCGAATAATAAATGTAATTATTCATTGTATTGGGCCTTGTTCCGTCAATTCTGAATAAATAATAATAATAATAATAATAATAATAATAATACGTAAAGTGGTTGTGGAACAAAAAGGTGTGGGTGGTAGTTAAATTTTGAAATTTTGTTAGGCGGGAAAGGTCGTTGGTGGGTCTGGATCGTTGATGACAGCGCCGTTATCCGGGGCGACCGAGGCCGGAAACGCCGTCCCTGAGCGGGCAGCGACCGCCTCTTCGTCCTCTCCGGCTTCCTCAGTCGTTTCCAACCCGCCGAACATACCGAACGTGGTCGAGTATCACCTGAAAGTGAAGCCTGGACAAACGCAGAGAGTCTGCCGGTTAGATAACAGTCCAGTGAGTACAGAATCAACATTTGGAACGTTCTGTGACTGGTCGATCGATCTAATTGTATCCGCTTCTTGATATTTCTTCGAATTTACAATACCCGAGGATTTGCATTCTTTTCCAATTTCATCGGATCGACCCAAAGAGGTATTGTGTGTCATTTAACGTGGATATCGTATACGAATAGTATTGGATAGAAATTGTTTCGCGACAGTAACTTCTCGATTCGCGCGTCGTATTCGTCGAGTAAACCGTAAGGCAACATCCGTTTCTAACGCAGAAAAGTCACAGCACGGACGAGATGAAGAAAGAGAAGAGTCCCGTGTCCACCGTCGACAAAAAGAAAGACCTAGTGTCCAGGCTATATCGTCTATCCATCGACAATAACGTGTTCGAGGGCTCGACCGATCTGCCTCAGGTGTTTCAGGTATATATATACATATATTTCTGTGTTTACTTCTTACCTGCTTCCACCGTCTGGCCACGTTTAAAGGCCAAAGGAGAAGAGGAAAAAAACGTACCTCTCGGGACCGAACACGAACATTCCTCAGGTCCAGTCATTTCCGTGTGAATAGGTTGAAAATTTCCTAATTCCTTGATCAAACGCGCTTGGTACACTTTTTTTCCGTCGACTTTAGTATATCTGCCGTTCGAACAACCGCGTTTCGAGAAGGCCAGCTTCTCTTCGAACCCTTTCGAAATCGTGCGCACCGTGTGTGCGCTCGCGAGTCCAAGGTCTGTGCCTGCCCCGGCCATAGGCTTTAATTATTACCTGAGCAGCGAGTGGCGCGCGTGGGAGACTAAAGGGGCGCCCTTTTCAGGTGAAATATTTGGGCTCCCATGATGCGAGGGGCCTCTGGGGCATCAAACACACGAGAAGGCCCGTCGATAATATGGTGGCTGCGGCGAAGGCTTTGCCGACCAATACCATGCTACCTCTGATCAAACTGGTCGTCTCGCAGGAAGGCGTAGCTCTGCTGCCTCTCGAGAAAAGGAAACAGGACCCGAATTTCGCCAGGATGTACGGTATCGAGACCATTTCGTACGGTGTTCAGGATCTGGTTTACACCAGGGTGTTCTCGATGATCGTCGTCAGGGAGACCGAGAACTTTCGTAGGGTCTCGCCTTTCGAGTGCCACGGTTTCGTTTGCGAGTCGAAGCACCACGCGAGACAGTTGACCTACGCCTTGGCAACGGCCTTCGAGATCTACTCGAGGACCGTTAAAGCACAGGATAAGATGGCGGAAATGTCGGGCAATAACGCGAAGAAACGGTTCGCGATCGATCTAAGAAGTCCCGAGGAAATGGAAGCCGATCTGGCCATGGATTCCGAAGCCTAAACTTCTCACGGTCTCGTTCCGATTGGACTTCACTGATTTCAGTTTTCCGTCGACTCTCTCGATCGATCGGACCAACCGGTAGAGGAAACTTTCTACGGGGAAAAGTGCCGTGCAAAAAGGATCGGAATGCGAGGACGTTTGCTCGTGGAGGACAATACAGGGTACACGTTGCGGGAGATATTTAATACGATATATGTATATGTTACAGACTCGATTATACACGTATTTTTAGATGTATGTTCGTTTAAGAGGAAAAGTATCAATATTATCCTCGTGTTTGTTACGAAATAAAAAATCGAAGGATTAAAAGGTCGTTCGGAGACGTAAACGTTCCCGTTCGGGACATTAAGAGAACGGTTATATCTTCGGCAACCTGTTGTACATAGAGGCTTTTTACCTGTATAAAGTAATAGTATATGTTACGAAATAAACGTGGAGTCGTTGAAATATTAAATATATATTTTATGTTCGTTTGAGCGTAATTTAAGGCCAGTTATCGTTAAGAGATAGACCAGGCGTGAATCGATACGAATTCTTCTCTCGAGTGAAATGTACTTAAGTTGGAGTTATGCGTTCAAAAAGTGTTTTTTCGAAAAAATAAGAAAAAAAAAAGAAAAACAGGCTTGTCGGGAAACCGTTTGTGGACACGCGAGTGGACGTAACTGTTGGTTATTAATTATTTTATCGGCATTTAGGAGGCATAGGCCCCGCCTATCCGCGACATAATGGCTAGTTATCCAAAGATACCAAATAGGAGGAAAGAGCCGAAAAGATTTCCGTCTGTTCTCGGTGACTTTTGCGATTTCATAAAGATACGATATCGTTCGTTCGTTTGAAAAGGAAAAAGATTGGATTTAATTCTAGCCGCTTCTGTGTGTGTGCACGCGCGTGTGTTCTTTTTTTTTTTGTTTTATCTTCATCTTACGTATATTTCTGTTAATGTACAGACAACCGTCTCTTAATTGCTTAATTTATTTTCATTGTACCGTTAAGTCACGAAACCAATATCGATACATATCAGTTGTTGTAAATAAAAGACGAAGCGGGACGTCGCCAGCGACGTACCTTCGACGCCGTAATAATCATTAGTCTATCCCACTTTGTTTAGATTTTAGGCACGCTTTTTGTTTTTATTCTATTTTTTTTTTTTTTTTTTTGCAAATATCGACCTGTTGCACCGACAATTTGCTCGTTGGTTCTAAGCTTGGGATACTTGTGTAACTCTATTATCGCGGGCCAGACAACTGCTTACTCATAGTATAGTCATCCGATTGTCAGTATTAGCGAGCTGTATTCACGCGCTATGTACAATAAACTTTTTACAGATATTTTAACCCCTTTATTTTAACGCTACAGCGTGTTTATATAGTATGATCGACTTGTACAGTTACATTTACGATACATTGCACACTTTTTACACACGACACACGTAATTGTACACACCCGCTTTACCGTTTGCGAGACCGCGAAACAAAACTGTCGTCGCAGCATTTATAAGCAATTCTTAGATGCTAAGCGGAGCAAGATTTATCGTTCGATTAATTTCAGGCAAGCAGATATCGTTCGATTCTAATCCTCGGTGGTCCGAGAGAGAAAGAGCTTCGCGAATTCTTCCGCAACACGCAATCCGAATCGAGAAATACATATATTCGTTTGTTTTATACAAGTACATATCGCATCACTGACGTCGCGACGACTTCTTTCGGTTGAGAATCCTGGACGTTCTTGTGGGCGGTTTGCCCGAGATCGGTTCCACGGCGTCCGATTCCTTGGTCGCTTGCTCCGTGTCGTTCTCCTCCTCTTCCACTTCCTTACCGATCGCCTCGTTCAAATTGTAAAAGTTCTCCGATTCCTCGCATGGTATGGAATTTTCGGTTCGCGTGCAAACGAACGTAGCCTAGGAGAATGAATTTCTGTATGTCAAAAGATGGGGGACACGATGGTCGAGATTTCGATATACAAAGCTTCTCTAACCTGATTGAAAACTGTCTCTCCGGGACAGATGAAGCTCCACCTCGTCGCACCCCTAGCCTGAGGCATGCATACATGGAAAATTTGGCAGTCGTTCTCCATGTCCGCGTAGTAGCCATAGATTCTGTCGTTGCAGGAAAAGTTATCCACGATGTTCTCCCTGATCAGCGTCGCGTTGTCCGGTAGCTCCAATCCACCGGTCTTGTTCTAATCCGTGGAAATTCGATAAACAGATTTTCCAGATATTAGTTCTTCCAAATGCATCGACTTCAACCGACTGGTCGGTCGATCGGAATGTCACAAACCTTAAATTCTGGGACGGGTCTCTTTGATTTCGATTGCTGAGGAAGCCCCCAAACGATGGCAACAAAACCGACGAGCAACACGATCAGATACGATCGACGAATCATCATCTTGACAAATGTTCGATCGACTTTACTCCGAATATCTGTTGTAGAGAGTTTCAGGTGACTGGGGGGTCGGTCGGGTGGATTGAAAAAGTTGTCTCGAGTTCTGTGTTCGAGGGTCCTGAGAAGACTGATGATTCGTTCCGCGGAAGGGTGTTATATAGCGAGCTAGCCCGTAAGAATCTTGAATATTGTATGAATGGCCAATTCCCGGTAGGTAGAGATTAGTAATTTCATCACGTTTGGTCTGCCAATGACCATCCAGACGTCCACATCATCCTCGAAGGCCCCGATGCAAATTTCCCCGATTCCGATGTGCCGAATGATACCGCTCCCCTCGTGTGCACCCACCACGAATTCCTTCCTTCGCCCTGCTTCGGGGCCAACCTTTATGTATTTGATCATTCACCGATCGTACGCCCCGCCGGCCATTCAGCGATCCTCCCGAGGCTTACGGGTTCCCTAGTACGTACATACACACACGTTCTCCTCATCGAGAATTATCCAACGCCGTATGTAGATACTTTGTTTAACGTGAAACAAAGGGGCATTAATATGCCCTTTAGTGTACCCGATGCAGCAGACATGTGTCCTTCCGTCGAACCGAGAGAAGATTTCTGAAAGGAAATCGGGTGCGACGAATCCTCTCTATGAATAACCCCGAGGACGTGCTCGACTCGAAGGTCGGATGCAAATGTCGATGGAATCGAAATAACCCCCCCATGTGTGATTAAAATTCGTTAGTCGATTAAGAATAAGCTGGACGTGGCCCCGCGGTTGATGTTCAATTCTATAAATGATCCGGCGGAAGGATATTTCGGCGTGGTCTCGCTTCTCGCGAATTCCGATGATCTTGACGCGACACGGTGGTCCGGTTGGCCGCGGTCCAACGGGGGCTCCGAAAAGAGGTTTTGCCCGTCTCGAAAACCGAGGGCAAACCAAGAGGCGCGGGCCTCGTCTTCTTTAAGGCCGTGCCGCACGCCACGACCACCGATTCTCTCTTCGGGATGTGAATACTTAACAGTTTCCATGGGGTCCCCGTCGCCTCGGTTACGAAATTCTGCTCGCTTCTGGTCATTGACCATGGGGGTCACGAAAAATCGCCATCGTGATAGGTATACCCGCTCGAGTCTCTTCCCATACGTGAATAATAATCATTTTTGTCTCTACATCTTCAATTCGTGGTCATTTACCGTACACTTTTCTACGTTTATGATTCTGGATCGTATTTCGATGGTTTTTAGACGAGAGTTCAGACGGTTCTCGAAGAATATTCTGTTAAGATACAGTGTAATCATGGATGAGTGTTCTAAAGCTCCTCTGCACTGACAAGGTGAGGTCTCCAGGTGTAACGCTGACATTGTCAACGAGGTTTAGCACAGTGATATAGCGTGGAATTCTTAAGTTTAGGAAATATTTAATGCTCTGTACGGAGGAGCCTTCGAACACTCATCGGTGTTTTACTGTACTTGGAAACGCACAAATGGCAAAAACCATTGGTCCCGTTGCGCTTGCAGAGAGTGGAATTTAAAGAAAATATTGCACCCTATTCAGAAATTTCCACGTGGCAAGATTTCCATTGGTTCGATCGAGGGAAAACACGATAGAACGACGTGGGAGAGCAATCACCGCGCGAATCCCCGGGTGTTTATCGCTCGATCGCGTTCTGTCCGCAAGGTGAACAGCCCGCGGTGAGTATCGATGCTCGTTGAAAATTCCATTCACATTTTCCTGCGCCCGACGACGAGGAATACAAACGGCCGCGGAATGGTGTTCGGGGCCTGGTCCACGCTCCGCGGAGAAAGAAGGTCGCTAGTTGATTCGATGGAGACTTTCGCGGTGGCGTCGCGATCACGCCTGTTTTCTTATTCACCGTCGATAAATCGACGATCTACGCTTCGAATGCTTAAACGCGCCACCGTCGAGAGATCGTGGACCGTTTTGTCGATCGAGTTCGAAAAAGTTTTCAAACGCATCGCGTCGCAACGAGGAACGGGGGAAGGATTCTTTTCGAGACTGGGTTTATTATCAAAATAATTTATTTCTTGTACGTTCCTTACAGGTGTTATTAAAACAATAAATTAACAAAAAGTTGGCGAGTATGGAGCGTGAAAGGATGCACGAAGGGGGGGAACAGGTACGCAAAGTGAACTTTGGTACGAGAAAAAAAAAGAAAAAAGACGATCTCGATCGAAATCATTGCGGATCGCAATCGAACGAAGGTGATACAATAATATTTCCTCGCGATGATCGTGACATAAATAAAAAAAAAAAAAACAAATAAATAGGTCAATATAAATACAACGTAACATCGGTTGTGATGCGTTCAACAATTAACTAGAAACCTGAGCACGAAGCGGTCGATCGCTTCTTCGTTCGCCGCCTAGTGTTTCTTTCGTGAGCCAGAGACGGATCATTGTGCGATTCGTCACCGAGTTAATTTTTCGCCGCGTAAGCGGAATAAGCGAGATCCTGCGGGGAATCGTTCGACGAACGACCCCAGTAACCGCCGCCACCACTGTGCTCGTGGTCGTCGTGATCGTAATGATGCTGGTGTTGAGCGTGCTCGTAATAGATAACCTTCGCCGGATGGGATTTCTTAATGTCCAGCCAGAACCTGGCGGCGTTGAGGATCAAGGTGATTACAGCGATAACGAAGAATTTCACTTGTAAATGGGTGGACACCAGCTGAAGCAGTAGGCTCAGTTTCGCTTTGAACAGCATCGCCAGACCGAGAAGTTTCTGGAGCTGTTTCTTCTTCTTGCCGAATTTCTTTCGGCGTCCTTCCACTGAAATTAAAATTTCAACATTATCAGCGGAAACGAGTCGAGCTCTCTCTCTCTACATTCATTCCGAACTGTTTTCCGCGTTACGTCGTTGGACGAGAGAGAAGAGGGGGATCGGAGGCACCGTAACACCGTTATAACTCCGAAGACGCTCCTGAGCCCCGTGACACCGATTTTCCCCATCGCCCTTCCCCGACCCACGCATCAAATGCGTGAATCGACACAGAAACCAAGGAAACAAAGTTTACCTCGTTTCTCGCCCACGTCTCTTCGATGCTCGCCAATCGTATCGCCGCAAATTGATCGGCGAGATCGCGCGTAACCTGGCTGTTTGCAGCTTCTATTTACACGCTTTTTGCCTATCTCTCTCCACTTTCATTCATTTCTCCGCTCTACGATCTCAACCGCGTGTTTTGTTTCAACGTGTCTGTGTTACGTTTCGATCGATTAATCACCATGGATACCGATACGATACCGAGACGCAAACAATAAAAGTAGCATCGAGTGAAAACGAAACGCCAGCGAAGCCATCTTGACGATCGAATGAGGACCACGACGGCTGATTCGTGGAAGCAATTAAAGCAGCATTTTCGGATGACCCAGCCCCGTGACCCAGAAACCGACGGTGGCTCTTGCGGGCCATGTAATGTCTTTCGGAACGACATGGCGGCTTTCTTAAAAATGAGTCACGATTTTCATCGTGAAAACCGTTCGCGACCCTGATATCCAGAAGTAAGGAGGAACAGACATTGTTTCGGTGGTCACAGGCGACGCATCGTAAACGATCGGGAAGAATTATGCCGGGCAACGTCGTCTATCGGAAATTGTTCAATTTTCTGGCGATTTGCTCGAAAAGATAACGATGACAACGAGTTCATACGGGTACCGTTACCGTGGATTTGCCCAAGCGGTCTCACTTAAACCGTCTGTAAACTGGGAGAATAAGTCGGCGACGTTATCGGATGTTGAATTTCAAACGATCCCCGGTGACCTAAAGACACGTATTCGCTCTGGCGTCTTAGACGGCCTCGTCGTCGTTCGTTAATGTTCCTATCCTAACGTTAAGTGTCCCTTTTTTTGTTTAAGCAAACATAGAACAGCTACGCGTAAATACAATAGGGGGGCCTGGTTTCGCCTATTCGGCCGTGAAGAAATCTAGCAGCTCGACCGACAAAGACGCTTACCTCGGCCTCTTTGTATTCTTTGCATAATCGTTTAGGAATCGTCTGGTTCGTGGCGGCAGCGACGTCTCTTTCCTACGATTCATTCATAAAAACGAGTCACGCGAGACGTACGCTGTACCGTTGCAACTCCATTCATCGTGTAGTAACCTTGGGTGCTCTGAATTAGTTTCGACGTTTCATTGATCGACAAAACGAACCAACAAGTGGAAACGAATTTACAAAAAGAATTTCACGGATACCCGGAACCCAATTACAAGCCAGTCCAGGCTAGTTTCGATTGAACGCGCGCGCGCGCAAGTTCAAGGTCGGTAAAAGTTAGCCGACTTTTTTTTAACGGTGCCGTTGGAGGACGAGTCGCGAAGGAAAGTTCACGGTTGATTTTATCATGCGCTCCGCGTGCCGGCGAATCGATTAGAAATTCGAACTGGCGTCTCGACGCGCTCGACTTTATTCGCTCGTCGATTTTAGCTACCTCGATTCCATGGGACATCTCGTGAGACGCTAGCATTTATTTGGCCCCTAAACATAGAAAGTATAGACTACGCGTTAGCCTGAGCCGGCGTTCCAACTTTAGGAACAGACGGGTTGCTTTTGAAGAATTTTCTATCTCTTTCTAATATAGCTGACTAAACCACTCAAACCCATAGCCCAGAACCTTACGTTCTACCACTTAGATTTAAAGAGAAATGCCAAGTCCTTCCAAAGCTATCTACAAATTTCTAAACTTTTGGGACACCCGTTTTCAAAGAGATGCGCAGTCTATTCTTATATCTCTATGATCTAGCCCCTGTGAATTTACCGAGAGAAAGACTCTTGGATTCTCACCTTTTTCGTCGGCTTCCGGCTCTTCTTCGACCTGTTCCGCTTTATCGGGATTTTGAATGTCGTCGACCACCTCGGCCATGAAGTTACCAGCCTGCTCGATCACCGCGCTCATCGGAGTTTCGCTCTTCTTCCCGGTCACCTGCATCTCGATCCGATCGATGTCCCTGGCCAGCCTCGTTCTCAGACATCCCATCGTGTTGTCCTCCCACACGCAGTCGAGGGCACTTTGATCATCCTCTTCCTTGTTCCCGGGAATCGGTTCACTCTGAACGTAAAGGGCGAGACCCAGAAACAATACGACGGACACCGTTATCCTCATGGTTGTCGGCGGGTTCGATCTATGGGGGGAGATCCGCTGAGACGAGTTTTACAACTGTAAAGGTTTGTACACTTGTCACCACCGCGAATGCACCGACGTGTTGTTTCCTCTGTGTCTCTCCACCCTTCCGTTGCTCGAAGTTTTTCCTTTTAATTCGCGCTCCCTCGGGCCTTCCGCTTTTTATATCCTTGGACCGCGTGTCACGGGCACGAAGTGGTTGTGGTAGATGCGTGGTCGAACATATATGAGAGTCTAACCCCTTCCTTCTGGACTTCCGCCAATCAAGTTGGTCCTGTTTCAGGTGAGAACCGACCGACCGACCGGCATCCCCCCACCACCACCGTGCTTTTCGTGAGCGCGCGTTGAAATCGTGCGCGGCGTCGTTTGGCTCTCCTTAAGGAATTCTGGCCACCTCGTGGGGCTTAGACACGCTCCCGTGAATGGGTAAGAAATCTAGCGGCTATCTGTGCAGCGGGGAGGAACGACACCATGGCCTTCCAAAAATACCTAGGACACGTTCAAGGTAAGATCGTTACCGGATTGGCCTAATTAAATAGCTTTCCTGGACTTCTTGGATCCATTCTATCGAAAACATTATCGATATTCCTCTAGCCTTACTATAATGGACAACCTTCGTCAAACATGTACCCCGACATTTGTCACTTTTTAATTATGTCGTTAATTAGAAATCGATACGCCTAACGGATTTTGTTCGTTGTACACGAATATTTGATATTTGGCCACGTCTCAATTTGTTCCGTCTTGTTGACCAAGTTTGCTCTTTAATCAAGCATGCTTCTGGAATCGATACGCATTCGAAGATCCGTTTCCAGATCGGTGAAAATGAATTTTGTATGCCGTGTCGGCGATCTTTCCCCCCGCGTTCTTTGCCGCAAGAACGGAAAAAAATAATGGATTTAGGATCGCGCGCGTGTAACTTGGCACAGCTGTGGGTCACGTACGTGGACCGACGACAGAAATTCCGCTTGGAACTACGGCGGGATGCTAATACAACCTAATTCCGGCCATCTTTATCGTTATTGGAAGAATGAAGAGACACGGAATCATAGTGAAATCGTTGTTGTCGAAACACCATGGAATCGAGAATAACTTGTATCTTTTAGTTGCTCTGTCACGCTACGCTCGTAACTGTATTATTGTCTTTTTTTTTTACATTAAAACTCTCGATTACGCAGACGGATCGTCGCGATATTTACAACTTTTGAAACACGCGATTATACAGTAATCTTCGTCTGCAAGGTATAAACTTTGAACTTTTTTTATTCGTTTCCTGAATGTTAAATTTCAACCTGTGTACCTACTTGGCTGAATAAGTTCGTCGAAGTTTATTAACACGCGTAACAGAGAAAATCGAGATCGCGAGAGGAAGTTGCTACTTTAAAACGAAAAAGGAAACCGCGACGCCGATCCGCGAGCAGTTTCGGTTTCAGCCTCGATCATTTACTTTCATCATCTTCGAGACACCGATTAAATATTTCTCTGTCGAAATGTCGTTCATAAGTTGCCACGATTTTCATGGATTTTGTCCTTTTCAAAATGTTGAAAAAAAAAATGTACCTTTTGACCGGTCAAACTAGATTTTCTGCAGAACGAGTTTCACTCGCTGGTCCCGAGTGAACGTTAGAGAGATGAGCTCCAAAAAATGTGTCACCGATGGGAACTACATTCCACGGGCCTCATTAAGTGAAACAAATGTATGCGTCGGGGACTCCGGTTAGCGGGTTAGAAGGAGATTCATCGATCATTAATTCATTCTTTATTTCGACCAGCCAGTCAACGACGTCTTTGTACATAGATTGTGTAGCGTTATTAAGGCGGGCCTCTCACGACCAGTACCAGAGGAACGAATATCCCTTGAGACGCTGGCTCGCCGTCGTCTCATTCGCTCTGGGAACGAACGAAATGTTGGGCTGATGACCGAATTCGTTCGACAGATACCTCACCTGAGTGTCGACACCATTTTCACTTTGTGCCCGATAACTGCCGTCCTTTTTGCCGCTTCTGTAACCGTCCTCCTGGTGATCGTGAGACGTAATCGTGTAGTTGAAACGATAGTAAATATCGTTCGCCACCGCGCCCCTTGAATTCGTATCCTCCCCCCCTTTTCTCGAGAACTGTTTCGTTGAATCCGTCGTGTTCTTTGGGAGATCCTTCAACAAGCTTTTCCCCCTTCTCTCGTGCGACGCATCCTTGGAGATTTCGAGGATTCTATTCCTCTCTGGGAACAATTTTTCTTTCTTCGGCGCTTCACCTGTAGCAACATCGATTACGTGAAAAAAAAGAACAATTTGTAACGCTATGATCGTCTAAATCATAGTTTCCCAACTTTATATGGCTCACCGTCCCCCTTTTCAAAGTGTTTTTTTTTCTTCAACACCCACTTCGGATAATCTATCTCTATTATAAAAATTTCGATCAAAGAAACGAAATTACTAGAATACCCCACCAGATCCCGGCACCCACATTGGGAACCTATGGTCTAAACGACATCGCTTTCGCACCAGGATTTCCGTTTTCCGTCAGGGTCCTTGTCATGTTCTCCAGCAGAGGGCCGAATTTTGCTCGCGAAGTAGACGTTGCGATTGTCGGAGCAACCGGTGTCGGGCTAACCACCTTGTCGTCTTTTATGGGAATTTTGCATCCACCGCAAGCATTCGCCACAGCCTCTACTAGTTTCTTCGCCGCCTCCGGCCTGTCTTTGAATATCTCCAAAGCATCCTTCACTGATAACAGTAAAATAAACATCCGACCACGATTAATACACTCGATCGGGGAAATAACGAGTTGCGCCAAGAATCCGCAAGCTCTCGATACTTCGGAGACTCACGACTGGTGATCTTCCTGTTCCTCATTCTGGTGATAATGAAATTGTCGTTCTCGTCTGTGGCGTATCCGGTCTCGTGATACACTCCGTCCGCGGTTACGAATCCGTACTCTCCGTTGATGATTCCATCAGCGTCTCGTGAAAGAATCGGTCGTTCGTTAGTCCGCATTCGTTAAATATTTCAACGCATCGCTCACCTTTCTTTTCGTATCGGTGCTGGAAGTCGACGATGTTGAATGAAAATTCGTACGGCCGGTTCTCCGCGTTGTTCTCGGCTCCCCGTGCGAAATCTCCCAACGAAATGCAACACAGAACGCACAGAACTTTGAATGCCATCTTATGAAACGTTTGCGTGGACTTGCAGTTGGATGAAAGGAAACTGTGGAATCCACGTTGAGCGCGTCGAAAAAAAAAAAAAATTCCAAAGAGATGAATGAGGATTACCCGACACTCGCTTTCACGCGTTCCGTGTCTTTCGAATAATGTCACAAAACGGAGGGAACGGCCGTAAATTCTCGCGGTGAACCGACGACGGAGGGCTTGTTCATGGCGTCGTAAAACTTGCAGTCGTTTGTTCGAACCTCCTTAAAGGATCACGCCTTTTTAAATGATCTTCAGCCCCGTACCGACAGTGAATAATCGTTGACGGAACATAAACCGCGCGAAAGTCGCATTGTGTCTTGTAAATGTCCGTAAGCAAATCGACGTTTGGTATTAGGATCGTTTATTGCATCTACAATATTAATCTTCGGATCGAAGATGAACCTTGGACGATTCGTGAACTGCCTGTCTATTGTAATATCTTCGTTATCGGAGACACACCGTGGCATAAAGATTTTTCTCGAGCACCAGAAACCCCGTAATTAATCGACGAAGACTGAAAGGCGTGAGTAATCTAACGGAGGAATCTATGATCGGTAATGTCAGCGTGGTATGGTTTCTCAGAAATGGATGAATCTCGGTGAAGGGAGCCATTAAGCTGATAAATCACAGAAGCGAATCTTGAGTACGTTTGGATGGAAAGTATAAATGTCACTAATTAGTATGGTTAATGGGAACCACGGAAAAATCAAGAGATCGTGTAAGTGTAAGCGATGTTCAAGGAATGCTTCGACGATACAAATGGGACTCGTCATAGGCGTTGAATAATTAGAAAGGCTTGGAATCGAGTGATTTCTGTAAAAGCCAGAATGCTTTCACGTCGATTGGCGCCCGGTCTAAGCTCCGAAGCATACAAAGATTAGGCCCTGGTTCGATCGTCGATTCGCCACGTACACCTACATACGACGTGCATCGTGCATTTTGTAGTTTAGAAAACGGTATAGCGACACGACTCGGAGCTGTCGATACAGGATCGATGGCGGTGGCATACTAACGATACAATGTACAATCTGTAGGTGGGTTTCTGGCACGTATACGCATTGCGAATATCGAGGCCTTGGAAAATAAATTCGACGTCGATCGAGGACTTTCGTTAACGTCGTGCCCCTAACATCGATCTAGATCCGTCTCTAACGATCGACGGTTTGCACGCGACGCTTGACAGAAAAAGAAGTGCGTTCCACTTATTTTCCACAATGCGGCGTATTCGAATGTGTCGTGTGTCGCTGCGATTAAAAAATAAGCATAATTTCCCTGTCCATCGATTCGACGAGCATCAAAGCCGTCGTAACAAGGAGTAATAATTTTATTTCGAGCTGTTCGGGCGTCGACGGAACCGACTAAAATTAGTATAATTTCGATTTCGACGTTGAATTAAACAACAGAGAAAAGGGAAAACCGGCGGCACAACCGTCGGAACCGATCGGCAGAGAATCTGGACCGAAATGCCGTTACGTGAGGTCCGAAGTAGGTCGTCAAATATGCTCCCCGTTGCTCTCCTCGGCGGTATATGCTACTCCCAGAACCGATATAATTTAATAGTCGATCGAGCATCAACGATTACGTGGAAACTCGTAATACGATATTGATTAGCTGTATATTTTCTGTGCAACAGTTACAAATTGTACAAAAAAGAATCACTTTGGAATTTCTTATCGACTATCAACTTCACGGATCTTTGTTGTTTAAAATACAGCCCCACAATTGAGAGTTCGCGAAGCGATTACGAGGTATTTGTGTTCGGCGTGTCGTTTATAAATATTTTCCGAGGCGGATTCATCTTCCTAGCCAGCCCTCGTCGTCGTCTTCCGGTTGATGATAACTGGGATAATAGTGGTCGTGGTATTCCGGTTTATGCACCACCACCACCTCGGATTTCTGCGAATTTTTGAAGAAGTTGTACAGTATGATGAGCAAAGCTAGCTTTCCCACGATGATGCTTCTCAGAAGACTGAACTTTATCGAAGCGAGAGTACCGGGCAGGGACATTAGCTGAAAATGAACGTAACGTTAGAAAGCGATAATTTTGCCGCTAGAATACTTCATTATTTTCTAAATAGTACGATGTATGTATCAAAACCTGCATCAAGACGGGACCCATCATCATTGCCATTCCAATCTTCTTTAGCGCATCGCTTTTGAATTTCAATCTTCCCGCGTCCTTCGACTCGATTTCGTTTCCTGAACAACGATTACAAAGCTTATAACTATCTGTACGATCACCTCTGAAAAATCATCGAAAGACACTTTAGAGATTCAACTCACCTTTAAGCAGACACGACATTCTTACGGTGACATTGGCTTGGCCCCTTGAGACGTGCAAACTGATCCCCCGTGAAATATCGAATTGCAGGGTCTCGTTCGAATTCTTGAAGTCTTTTACACTGTGATCGACCGCTCGAACGGAATCGTTGACCGCGATCGCGAAACAGAGCCACCAAACTAGCGCTTCCGCTCCATGCATTGCTTTTCAAGTCGTAGACTACTTGGGTAATCAACGTCTACTAAAATGGTAAAATTAAATCGGTATTACACGGTTCGAGAATTTGGGCTTCTAGACCAGAACCAAACAGTATCTCAACTATTCGTTGGATTTTCCATTTACCGTGCTAGTCATTTCTCTAGTCTACCACGGTGCAAAATCGGAATATCACATATCGTTACTCACCGGATTGCGTGTAACATTTAATTCCACGTATTTATCGTTACCTTTTCCACGGTTCTTATCGATCCCAATTCAATACTCAGAGCAGGGAAACCATCGTCTTCCATAGATAAAACGGTCGCATAGTCGCGGAGAAAACTGACCGATTTTCTTCTCACTATTTCATAACCGCGAGCAAGCGATGAGACGCGTGCTGATCGCCGCGACTTCGCGCCAAGACTACTGACCGATCTGCCGAGCGGAGAACAGACATTTTTCTTTTGCGCTCTATGCTCACCCCACTAAAGCTAGGAAACTGGGTCTGTCTGTGCAGCCTGTCGATGCAATCCGTGTCATAGAAGGTGTAATGCACACGTGGCCAGACACTGGCTCGAGCGGATTCAACGGACCTTGACACGCGGAAAATTCAACCGAGGATCGTTCGTTGAAAACACACAGTTTTCGATTTTTAATGCGTTATCGCGAGGTCGACGACATTCCGTTTTTCTTCTCATCGATCAATGCGCCTCTTTGGTTCACCATTCGGAGGTCGAAATTCTTAGAATGGAACTTGGCTTTGAAATACTAGAGACAACGCTAATGGAACAACGGAATGTGCATGTATTAGTAATGTTTTAATAAAATGGTTCTACGACGATATACATTAGTTAATAAATACTTTGAAATAACTTCTTACAAATAAATTACCGGTAAACTGAGGTATACGGTTATTACTTAAACTTAATAGTCCACGATTTTGGTTTCACTATTTTGGTCCGACAGCTCTAGGACTCTGTTCGAGACTTACTGACGCTCAGTCGATGTTCAGTTAAATAAAATTTGTCTAAAGTTGTCGTTACAACTTGTGGTGTTCCTTTGGTTCACGTAGATTCCCTCCAGAGACTAATAACTTTCTCGATGATCGGTGCGCGGTATCTTCGATCCTCTCGATCGTCGATAGTCAGGTGAAAACCGCAACGACAGCCGTTCCGTTGGTGTCCTATGTATTCCAAGTGGAAAAATGGACGATAAAACAAAGAACCATCAGGATGTGCGATAGCCTGGTTCGGTTTTGTGGTCGTTGGTGGAACAGTTTCGCATCCGTTGGAGCACCTTATTCTCCATTACCCTCTGTAATAATAATGTTCATCTTCTTCTGGAGCGCTGTGCGGCATCCAGCCGCTGTACGCGTGATTATGAGCGACCGGCGGGCTGTTGTGCACATGCACGTGAATCGGCTGATTGTGAGACGGCCAAGTCGGTGTGTTTTGTTGCCACCCAGACGAGAATTTTGCTATTATCGTGCTCAGCTTGAGCACCAATAGGGTGACACCTGCAACGAAATTAACGTTAATGCACCACCGAAAAAACAATTATTCGCGCAACAATATATATAATTATAATCATGAATTAATTTCTTTCTTATTCAACGCGAATATTATTTTTCTTAATTCGGGGGATGATTCTACAATGTTTCGTCGATACACCTCTATATTTATAGAACAGTTGACACATGCGGGGAAATTAAATGCCGAGGTTAGCACTAACATTAAAAACGAATAGAAAGTGGGTCCACCGGTAAAATTTGGCTGTACGCGACCAAACGTCGACCCGTGAACCGTGGACAAGTGTTTATCGATAAATGGGTCGATGTCACCTGTTTGTGTATGCACACGGTGTTGTGCATTACCAGACCTGAAACCGTTATTATTTTGCATAGAACGAACGAACAATACATCATTATTCGTGCTTACCGATGAGCAGTCCCTTGAGCGAAATCACGGTCAACACCGTCAGCATCGTCATCATAACAACCATTTTGTACACCATCGGCATCAACATGAATTGCAAACGCTTGACTCCAAACGTTCGAGCTTGCCTGCCAGTCGATTCTGAATATCACGAAAAATTCCCATTAATCTCCATAATCGTACAAATTCGACGCTCACAAATAAATACCGTCGAGTATCGTATTCTTATTATATTTTCGTGGAAATCTGTAATTTGAAAATTAGCACGCTCACGGACTCACCTTGTATCTCGTTCCCGCCGTCGAACAGATCGTCGAGAAACTCCCTGAGGACACGAACATCGGGATCCACGGCCGTGTCCTTGGAGATCGGCAACAGTTTCGTGATTCGTCCGTGATCCAGCGCGGCGACGCCAACGTTCCCGATGCTCGAGGAGAACGCGATTTTTGAAAAAGTCGCCGCGAGCAACACGCACGTCGTCAGCGTCCAGCCAATCGGTCCGCGCATTATCAAACCGGTTATCGCGTGATCACGTGATTCTCTTCATCGACACCAAGCGGATTCACTCGGAGAACGAACTCCCGTGGATACGGTCGCGCGCGTTCTTCGATCTTTTCGTGAAACAGAAACCAAAGAGAATTTGCAGGACGTATGGTGTTGGTCGAGCCCGCACGAGTCGCCGTATGATTCGGACGAGCGGCCACGCTGCCGTTCGAACTCAAAAGAGGTTCGGCCCGACACGCTACGTGTGCGCGGTAGATCTGCGCGCACGGCGGCGCCTTCGAATTTCCTCTCCTGGCCGTACAAATTCGTGAAACACTTTCGGGCGAACGCTGTTGATAGTACGTTCCACGTGCTTCGAGCTAGCGGCTCGATGCTCGCCTCGTTGCCTTTCCCCGGGCACGCATTCCTTTTTCATGCGATTACCGCTACCGATCTCGTAATACCAGGTGCAATACAGTAGAATTATCGTGGATCATACACCTACTCTTATAAAACAGAACACGAAAACTCTGGCTGCACGTAGAATTGTAAACGATATGTCTTTTCGTTTTAAAATCATTAATACAGAGTAATTGTCCAGCGGTACTGGAACTTCTAGACGTATACGTACCAGCCCGATGCGTTAGAGTGAGGTAACCTTTCTTATCCCGATATTACAAGTCTAGATACGGATCTCTTGACCCCATTAAGCGTGTAATAAAATGCACTAGTTGATAACATAGATTTCTTCTCAGGTAGTATATCATCATTGAAATGTAAACCACTTCAATTAATTCAATAATGTACATTATAGCGTATCATGGAAACCTCATTACGTCATAAGTATTGTAATTATTCACTGTGTTAGGCCTTTTATTTTCTTTCAAAATTGGTACGAGGAGAAAAAAATGTGTACTTGCCCTATTATTCGAAGGAACAGTTGTGGACAGTGCACGCAGCGTTCTAGTGTATATGTTTCTGGCTTGAAACTTCGTTCGAGATCGGTTCAAAGAATAGGTATCTAACGGGGAACAGGGGAGAAATACCAGAACAGAGTTGCCTTCGCCAGTGAACATTCTCTTAGGATTTTTCGTGTGTCGGACGATTACTCGGTGTCCCACTTTCCGTATCATTGTCACGGTCACTGTTCCGCCGTCATTCGCGTATGCACTCATACTCCTTGGTGTAATTGCCAGACGCGTTGTTGCACGAACGCTTTGACAGCGGCCAGCAGCAGTCACTGGAAATGAAAAAAGATGCGAACGCAATGGTTCCTTTTTTTCTATTCCGACGTTTAAATATGTTTTCAAGGATGTTCACGATCTGTTAATTTTACGTGTTCAGAGTGCCGTTTATTCACCACCGTCGACGTTAATACAATTGGATCGGAATCTCGAGATATTTACAGAAACGAATGCTTTCCAGAGAGAATAAACCGCTCAATGACATCATAACGCGTCGTTCCTCGAATCTTTAAGCACCGTGGGCTTGCTACCAGCTCCCGATACCAATTTCACTGACGATTAGACAACGTAATGTTGATCGTCTTGACAACATATGTCAAGGTCATCGGCCATTTTACTTAGAAATCCTAGTAAAGTACGATACTAAACTTTTTTTTACATTCACTTCTTTACAATCGGTGACTCCCAATGAAAACCGTCACAATATTACTCAGGATGACATAATTTACCGAAATTTTTCTCGTTCCCGTCGAAACCGCGAGCGCAGTCGTCTCTATGCAGAATCTCAGTTTAAATCGTAAAGCACAGTCGGTAAAGGGGGTGACGATCCTAGTAAACGAACTATGCAAACGATCGAAACGATCTGTAGTCGTACTCTCGTTGCGGTGTTACGACCAGTAAAATCGGTGTACGCGTTGTGCACGCAGCTTAAGAGAGCAGCTTGCCGCACCGGCAGATAAAACGAAGAAACGCGGTACTAAACCTGTACTGCATCGTTTGTGCTCGGTGGATCCAGCGAGGGAAGAGAGAGAACGAGAGGTCGAAGAAGGAAACGAAGGTGGCCATCTTGGAAAATAATGCCAGTCGTAAAAGTTCTTTACCCTGTGCCCCAACCTGCCCCGCGGGAGCTCCTCGTCCTTTCTTGCCTTGTCCCTTCTAGTCTCGATATTCCGCCAAGGACTAAAAATACAACCCCTTGCGCCCAGAACCAGAAAGGCCGTATTAAAGATAAACCTGAAACCCGGTCTGGACTTTGTTCGAGCTGCACTCTCCGCGGGCGCAGCGACTTCTTCCCCCTCGTGTGTGCCGTCTTCTTGCTTCCTTTTCCTTCGACGAGAGTGTATACGATACAAGGGACGGCTTGAAAGGTTCGTTTAAAATGCTGATGGGGAGAATTAAGCCAAAAACTTGGCAATATCGTGGAAAGGAATTTTGTCTTAAAAATGTATATCGCAATGTCGATCGCTACTTCGACGAACTCTTCAAAAGCAGTGGCTTCGACGTCTTTCCTTTCTCGTAAAAATCTTCGTACAAAATCCTTGGACGAAAAAAAAGATGATTGGCGAACAGAGTTACGGGTCGTGCGTGAAAATCGCGAGAATCTCGATTCTCTGAACCGATAACGGCGTCTCTCGTTCGAATGTAGCTTCGTAACGTGACTTCGAACTCCGCTACCGGGTATTCCGGAGTCTGGAAGACCAGTTTTTCCCCAACTAACGCGCGTACCGACTGTTCGATGTACGTCGAGATAACAAGACAGCGAATGGGTCCAAGAGACGCGGTGAATAGGAGAACGCTACGCCAAATACGAGGCGGCATGTGACTGGGTCGCGATTTATCGGCGGTATTCGCAATAGATCTCGTGATTGGGAGGTGTGTGCCACGGTGTGTTTCAAGCACCACTGCTTCAAGGTTAATTGGCTCGTTACTGTATCAGCTGTGTGCAGAAAGAGAACTGGATACTAGGTAGTGGTCGACTGGGAATGCCCTAACCGAACCATCCATTCGATCATTCAAATCGTCTGTCAAAAAAAAATGCAAATAATTCACCATACGAACGTTCGTAAGAAACTCTTCGATTACTCTCTTTTTATAGGCTCGTTTCGAACGAAACGGCGTGTGTGTACTCGAACAATTCCCTGAACCTTTATTCCCGATGGATCGATCGTAAGATGTATTCAGTTAAATGCTTCCACACCCGTTAGACCGTGAACCCGATCCTCCGACAACCCTGGGTAGGACTCGTAGTGGGGCAACGTAAAAATGGAAATGCCCCGGCTGTTTCTTATCCACACAGCCTCGCGATTCCCCCGCCGTCTCGTTGCTTGAACCTGTATGTATGTACGTATACTCTCGCGTGCATCTTCGTTTGCCATCGTCCGGACGATAGTATGTGTATTACCATACCTCTCCGGCATGGCTGACCATAGACCGGCTCCGAGAAGTGGCCGAGACATTCGCCTCTCGACCGCGACCATGAGAGCACTCAACTCGCGACGCCCACAGCCGACCACTAGTACCCTCTATCTCTTCCCTCGTTCCTTCCACTGTCTTCTTCTGCTGCTGTTCGTTGTGCACAGTGGCCAAGCGCGCAGCGTGCACCGCGATGAAGAGGGCCCGCTCGAGCCCGAGGGTGGTAAACTTTCGGCGGTCAAAACCGAACGCGACGTGGTGATCGTCGAGCTAACTTCCGGGACCACGGATGGGAAAAGTGCGCCAAAGCAAGTGCAAGGAAAGCTCCTGGGGTCACAGAACGATGGCGTTGAGAATGAGGGAATCGAGCCTGAAGAACCGGGGAATATCGACGGGACGAAGATTTCGCAGCTGAAAATTGGGGAGCTGTTGCAAGAGGCTGGCCAAAGCGACGCCGAGCAGCTTGCTGCCGCAAAGTCGCCGAGAACAGACACTTCGGCTTCGTCCATCCTTCAGGAGCTCGATATTGAGAAAGAAACAGCGAAAAAGATCGGTGACAGGATCGAAGATAGCAAGGTTCTAAATAAAGAGGACGATGAAGCGAGCGTGGCTAAGAAGAGGAGACGAAATGACGTGGCTCTCGTTGGGAAGCCCGAGGTTCCAAGCGAGGGAATTCCGTCGGAGCGGATCGAAGAGGTGAAAGACGAAGGGATCCGGAGGTTCGATGTGCAAATAGACGCGGGGGTCGTTGCTCCTTCTCAGGAAGGTGTCGTTGACATCGGAGTTAACGACGCCGATGCTCGAACAGTACGAAAGATCACGGCAGATGCGACTGAACAGAGTCAGTCCGCGAAAGCATTTTTGACTGGGGTGGACCACCAAGACGGTAATGTCCACATTGCCGAGGAACCGAAAGGGGAACTACCAGGTTATTTCCGGAAATCGGGACCACTCGATTCTGACCAAGACAAAGACGAATCGAGCTTGGACGAAGGTTCAAACTCCAAAGACGAGAAAGAGTTGAACGAGAACCGGGAATACAGGTACTTAGATGATTCCGAGAGTAAATCGAAACGCAAAACGTCCACCGTCTACCTGAACGCCGAGGAAAAGAAGTTACCCGACGGGGAACAACAATCGATCGTCGAGGGTCAAATCAAAAAGCTGATATCGATTCGCGACGACGTGCTTTCGGACGCCCAGAAAGCGGACAAGCTGGACGAGGCCAAGGTTTTGAACACCAAGCGAGAGGTTGGAGCGGACGAGGTCGTTCTTACACAGGGGAACATCGAGACCGGGCAGACAAACAAGGTAAAAGATCGCACACTATTTTACTCTAGACAATCGTTAAGAAGCGATAGCAGTCTTAGAAAACGGGAAGATCAGGCTGTGTCGTTTCAAGATCAAATACGTAATAGGACGTTCTTGGTTCGCGTAAAAGAGAACTCCACCGAACTACTCCCAGAAATACTTAAATTCACGGAGAACCAGTTGTTGAACAGATTGGAACAGATAGCGCTTTCAAAGAGGTCCGAGTATTCGAATAATTCTTACGTGGACGACGTGAAAGATCTCGGATTGACCGACAAGCAGCTGCGAATAATCGAATGCGCCGAGCAATTAGTAGCGCGAGACAGTTGTTCATCG